AATTGTTTTCTTGATTTTTTCTTTTTGCTAGCTTGTTATTAGTATATAGAAATACAACACATTTCTGTATATTGATTTTGTATCCTGAGACTTCACTGAATTCATTTATTAGTTCTAATAGTTTTTTGGTGGAGTCTTTGGAGTTTTCCATATATAGAATCATGTCATCTGCAAATAGTGACAGTTTTACTTTTTCCCTACCAGTCTGGATGCCGTTTATTTCTTTGTCTTGTCTGATTGTTGTGGCTAGGACTTCCAGGACTATGAATAAAAGTGGTGAAAGTGGGCAGTTTTTTTCTTGTAATTGATATCTAGTTTCATACCGTTGTAGTCTGAAAAGATGCTTGATACAATTCCAGTCTTCTTAAATTTATTGAGATTTGTTTTGTGTCCTAATATTTTGTATTGTATCCTATTATTTTCTTAGTCTTGATTTTGTTTATTTCTGCTCTGTTCTTTATTATGTCTCTCCTAACTACTAATTAGCTCTGGAGAACATTCCATGTACACTTGAGAAGAATGTGTATTTTGCTGCTTTTGGGTAGAATGTTCTGTTTATATATGTTATGTCCATCTAGTGTAATGTGTTGTTCAATGCCACTGTTTCCTTATTTATTTTTTGTCTTATTTATTTTCTATCCATTGAGGGGGGTGTTAAAGTCCTCTGCTATTACTGTGTTACTGTCAGTTTCTCCCTTCAGGTCTGTTAGTACTTGCTTTATATAATCAGGTGCTCCCATTTTGGATGCATAGATATTTACAGTTGTTACCTTCTGTTGTTGGACTGATCCCTTTATCATTATGTAATGTCTTTTTTTGACTCTGATTACTTTCTTTGTCTTGAAGTCTGTATTTTCTGATACAAGTATTGCTACTCCAGCTTTTTTTTTTCATTGCTGTTTGCATGGAATATCTTTTCCCATCCCTTCAGTTTCAGTCCGTGTGTTTTAGGTATGAATTGAGTCTCTTACAGGCAGCAAATAGATGGGTCTTGTTTTTTTTTTTAAAGCATTTAGTTACCCTTTGTCTCTTTATTGTACTAGGTAGTCCATTTACATTTAAATAAATTACTGAAATGTGTGTACTTATTGCCATTTTGTTAAATGTTTCGTGACTAAAAATGTTTTTTAATTGAAGTATAGTTGACAATATTATATTGGTTTCGAGTATACAACATACTGATTCAACAGTTAAATACACTATAAAATGTTGTTCATCATGATAAGTGTGGTTACTGTCACCATAGAAAGATATCAGTAATGTTAAGATATTTTATGTCTATATTCATGAGGGATATTGGTCTAGTTTTCTTATAATGTCTTTGGCCTTTTTCATCATATATGTAATTGTCTAGTATTTTAGTTCTATTTTTAACTACCCAAATTGGACATTATTACTATTATTGTATTTTATACTCATCATTTAGATTATCTCACATTCTTACTGGCTTCTTCACTGCCACTCCTTGTTACATTTCAGTTCATCCCTTTGCAACCATTCTCCTTCTTGCTGGAATACATCCTTTAGTAGTTCTTGTGTTGAGATCTTTTGGTGATAAGTACTTTTGCTTTTTTGCTTGTCTGGGTGTCTCCCTGTCTCTGAACTCCTGAGACAGGTGTATTATTCAAGACTAACACTTTTTTTTCTCTTGGCACTTTGAGGATGATTTTCCTCTGTCTTCTGGATGCCATTATTGCTGCTGAGAAGTTTGTTTTTAAATAATTATTCATACTTACTTAGTTGCCTTTTTTCTCTGACATATTAATATCTTCTCATTGTCTTTGAGGTTTTACTCTTTCACAGCAGATGCATGTATGTGTATTTGTTTTCATTAATCTTGTTCAATGTTTGTGCTCCTGAGGTGTTTCATCAGTTTTGGATAATTTTCACCCCTTATCTGTGAAGATGGTGCTTTCCGTGTTCTCCTCTTTCCTTTTAGAATCCCAGTTAAATGCAGGTTGGATCTTATATTCTGTCCACTGTGACTCTTAACTTCTTCATTTTTTTAATCTTTTTGTCTCTCATTGTTGCACAGATCTGTGACCTAGTTCAAAATTTTCTTTCAGTTGTGACTCATCTGCTATTTAATCCATCACTAACATTTTAAATTCTTTTGATTTTCATTTCTATTTGACCATTTCTGATAGTAGCTTATACTTATGTTCAAATTTCCTTTTATATTTCTTTAACACTTTCAGGCATATTTCTTTTATGTTCTGGGTCTCTTCAATGTACATGAAATACTTGAGTGGAGGTGAGGGATTGTCCAATTCTATTATTGGTTTTTTTAGCTGATTTTTCCCCATGGGCCTATTTGCCTGTGGCAATTTCTAATGATGAGCTGTATGGCTGACCTTGATATGTGTGAATGCTGCGGGTCCCGAGTTGAGGCCGTGTCCCACAGACAGGGCTTACGTTCACTCTTCACCGTGGAGTTCTGCTAGCTAAGAAGGACTTCAGATAAATTGCCTAGCATGGAGCTTCTGTTGAGTAGAAAGGGAGAATAAATTCAAACTCTGGTGCTGAAGAGGGCAGGCTTGTGGTTACAGATTCTTGGAACCGTTCTTCCTTTCTGTTCACTCCAATCAGTGCCGGAGACAAAACAAAGTTCTATTTGCCAGGGAAGCAATTTTTCCCTAGTTTACACTTTCACTAAGGACCGAGTCTTCAGGGCCTCTGGCTTTTGTACCTCATCTGACCTAAAGCCTTGTCCGCATTAACCCTGCTCAGATGAGAAAACCAAGGCCCTGGCGTTGCCCAGATAGTTCCAGGGTAGCCTGTGGCTTCAGGGCTCGCTTCTCATTTGGTATGACAATATTCTTTTTTTTTTTTGCCTCCTGTAGATTTTTCTTTACTTTCTAGAGATCATCTATTCATTCAAAAGGATGTTCTATGCTTTATGTTTTATATTGATCTTACTCAGCATTTCTAAGTGTTTGGAGAGGAATGTTTTTCTGAATAGCTAGACTATTATGCTGTTGGAAGTTGAAGCCTCATATTTTGTTTCTGTCTGAAGTATAGTTAAGTATTGATAATGTGATTCTTGGGATGTTTTGGTTCTTGAGTCAAGAACTATAACATTAGTAATTATATTAAATGACATTAACTCAACTTAATACATTGGTTCATTTAAAAAACCGTGTACAAGTACTGCACATAGAAGTTCAGGCTTCCAGCCCATTTTGAAACCATTCATTCCGAAAAATTACATAACCATTTTTGAGTTTGTGTTATGACATAGCAAGATCTCCAATAAATGATTTTGATTCTTGATGTGGTAGCAGTTTTTATAGTTACAAATTCTCAGGGAACATGCTCTCTTTTCAGCATCGTGCTGCCATGTGAAGAGTGTACATATCCAAAACACATGGAGTCACTTTCTTCCCTCAAAGCAGCACCAGTGGATTCTGCGAATGGAACCGCCACTCATGTTAGCCAAGTTCAGACGATGAGGTCCTCTCATTCTCCATTCTCCTTCCTCTCCACCAGCCCACCAAGGCTTCCATCTGCAGGGCCCATAGAATCCTTCACAGGGAAAGCATAGAGCTGAGAGGCGGAGCAGGGTCTCTGGAGATAGCCACGCTTGGAAGTGACTCCAGACTCCTGATTCTTTTGAGCCGCATGACCTTAGACAAATCACTTAACCTTTGTAAACTGAGGGTAACCACAGTGCCGCTCCCATGGCTGAGGATCCAAGGAGACAACCCATATAAAGTGCTTAACAGGTTGCCTGACGCAGGGAATGCTCAGTAAAGGAGAGCTGCCGTGCTGGTATCATTGCCGCTGCATTGGACTGACCAGGCCTTACTGTAGCCTTTCTTCACCAGAGCTCACCGCCTCTGTGCTCGTTCCCTTTGCCGCCTGTCTGGGTAGGTGCATACAGCCTCTGGCCTGACTGCTGCAAAGGCTTCTAGCTGGTGTTCCTGCCTGCTGCCGCACCACCCTTCTTCCATCCTGCTCCTGATCGGGGCTGTCAGAAACACTTCTGATTGACACACTGGCAAAGTCAGAATCTTCAAGGGCTCCCCTTTGCTTTCTTATAGCTTTAGATGCAAATTCCTTACTCTCAATCACAATCTGTCAGCAGATAGATTTATAGTCCATGAGAACACCCTGGAAGCTATAAAGTACCAGGTGAAAGTGAGCTCTGTCATTACCACCCCCACTGTCTGCAGGTGGCTTTTCATGAGCCCCTGTCATTGCTCCAGCTGAGCTTTAAGAGGGTGGACCTGCGACCTACTTTAGTTTCTTTACCATAGCAGCTGACTCAGTGCCCTGAGCATGGTGGGCATGCTTACTACATATTTGACAGATTGATTGCCATGTAAATTTCTACACCAGGGATCAAAATGGTTCATTGGAGATGTTACCATATGTCTTGCAAGGTCAAAGTGGTTGTGTAATTTTTCTGAATGAATGGTTTCAAAATTAAAAATCACTCAAGTGGGCTGGAAGCCTGAATCTCTATATATGATGCTTGTACAAGTGCTTTTTAATAAAGTATTTGAGCTTGAGTTAATAGTATTTAATGTGGTTATTTCTCTAATACACCAGGAATCAGCTTATAAAGCACCTTCAGATGTATCATCTCACTGATCTTCACAGCAGTAGACCATGGGCTACAGTGGTTTAGTGACGTGTCCACATTAAGAGAAGAAAGTGGGGCTCGGGTTTGGGTTAGTTCTTTCACTGCAGACTCCTTTTTGCGGGGTAACTCCTTGTCCAGGCTCCTTAGGACACTCTTTATAAGAATGCAGCATTTTCACACTTGATTGATCAGGATTTCCTTCAAGAAAGCAGTTTTGTCATTTCAATGAATAAAAACCTAGAGAGAAAAAAGAGGGCTTTAACTGATTTAATTGTCTTTTGGAATTGTGTATGTTTTTAATCAGGAATATTGCTTCAGCCCCATGAAGTTTTCTCCTCCTTTAGTAATGTTGTACATTTTGAAAGCCAGCCTGGTTACAGGCCCATTTGAATTTGCGTGTTTCCTCTTTTAGGGGAAAACAGAGCCCATCACGGTGGTGAAGCTGCTGAGCTGTTTTGATGACCTTGTGGCTGCAGGCACAGCCTCTGGGAGGGTTGCGGTTTTTCAGCTTGTGTCGTCATTGCCCGGGAGAAATAAACAGGTAAGGACTAATCATTTTAGCATTTCTTTACTTCTTGGCAAATTCCTCATGTATTTTAAATGAGAAATCCTCATCTGCCTAGAAAATATATGCTCAAGAAAGCTGACCACTGTGCTCTTCAGAATCAGATATCACATCTCTGTTACTGGTAGGACACTTGGCAAAAAGCACATATCAGTAATTTAAATTTTGCATAATATTCTCTTGCTGTTCTCTCTCAGTTTTGAGGGTAAATGTACAGATGGAGCCTTGTACAGGATTCTGCATGGAGAGCAAGGTTGGGAAAACTAGCTCCTCCATAAACAGGAGGAATTGTGTGCCACCTTATCCGCATAGCTCCATCTAACAGTGTTTAATCCTTTTCTTTTTCTTGTGTGTATTTTTATCGTTTATTCATAGCTGCGAAGATTTGATGTCACTGGTATTCATAAAAATAGCATAACAGCCCTGGCTTGGAGCCCCAATGGAATGAAACTGTTCTCTGGGGATGACAAAGGGAAAATTGTCTATTCTTCTCTGGATCTAGACCAGGTAAGATTATTCTCAGAAATATTGTGGACCCTCTTATATTTGGAGAAATTCTTCATGATTGTATTTTTTTAGTCAGCTTGTATTCTATTGGTGATCCCTTTATAATCTCAATTGTTATTTGTAACATATCGTTCAAGGACTTTTCTGATGTTTTATAAGCTTCTACTTCTGTGACTAGAGAGTTGGCCTTTCTCCTAAAGCACTGACTTATTCCATTCTCCTGTTCTCTACTGCCACTACTTGGAAAAGAGGAAAAGAAGCCATTTCATTCCTCATTCCTTGTGAGGTTTGTAGGAGCGACACAAAGCATTTCATAATCATAACTTTGGACCAACCTCAGTGCTGTCAGTGGGTGGAGAACTCACCCCTGCCAAGCCTTGCCTGTGTAGGATGATCTGGTGGGAGAGAGAGTGGCAGAGGAGATGGTTTGGTGGCATCTTGGTGCCCAGCCCCCACCTCATGTTTGTTACTGTATTGAATCCTCACGACAATGCCCTGAGGTATGTGTGCTCATCCCCTCAACAGATGAAGAAACCGAGGCTCCGAGAGATCCAGGCACTAGTCCAGGGTCCCATCGAATATCTGGCAGAGCTCACCTGGAGACCCAGGTTCTGCCCCAAAGCCCCTGCCTTTTCCATAGCACCTCTGCTTTGCTTTGTCATGTCTGCACAGCTAGAATGAACCCCTCGGTGGCACAATCCTGTCATTTTCTTATTTGTAGCTGTCATTCCTGATGCCTGATAGGAATTCAGGCATTACTTACTGAATGACTTTCAGTCTAATCTAAGACTGACCTGCCTATTGCAAATATTCTCTAGCAGCTCCCAAACTTTTTGGTTTCTGGACCCCTTTACACTCTTAAAAAGAGGACCTCAAAGAACTTTCGTTTGTAGGTTATATCTACTGAGTGTACTGTGTCAGAAATTAAACTGAGAAATTCCAAAATACTTATTTTGAAATAATAAACCTATTATATGTTAACATAAAAACATTTGTGTGAAACCGGCTAATATCAAAACAAGTGAAAAGAGTGACATTGCTTTACATTTTTGCAAATCTCTTTAATGTCTGGTTTAATAAAAGACATCTGGGTTCTGCATTCAGTCTGGTGCAAATACATTGCTTTGGTTGGAGTGCATAAAGAAAGTCTGGCGTCACACAGACATGTAGTTGGAAACAGGAGTAAGTTTTAATAGGCTTTTCAGAGAACTGTGGATTTCTTCCTTAACCACGCCCCCAAATTGACTAGTGGTGGTTTCTTTAAAGGTTAGTCACACTGTGGAATCTCACACCACAGAGAAGAATTTTTTAACAGTAAAACCCTTTGGTCTGTCCTGCTGTTTGAGTAGCAATTTGACCCAGAAGTGATTTTGTAACATTATTTTCACTTGGAAAACGTTGATCCACTGAGCCGATGCAGATCTTCCAAGTGTTGGTATATCTAATTATATAATATCACAGAAAGCACCTTTGTTATTATGGCCATCATTCTGACCAGAAAAGTCTTTAGCTATTGGGAATCTGTCGAGTTCACAAGGGCTGATACAAGTTTCCAAATTCTAATCCTTACTTGAAAAGTGGTTTTATCATCAGCAACAAATACCATCACTTGTTCTCCTTGAAGTGACGAGCTTACTTTGTTCTTCCTGAAAAAATGTCTGCCAAATACCCAAGTTGGGAAAACTCTAGTATTTCGGGTAAAAATGGTGTTCTGTGAAAACAGTGGCTGGCTTAGCTCCCAGCTGTGCTTTTTCTTGAGAGAATCCAAGTACTTCAGTGTATGGCGGAAGGACTGTGTGTGTACAGAAAACTTCATGTACCAAAGGTCGAGATTTAGTGAAATTACAGTTTTTTTTGGCATGAAAGACCTTAAGTGACATGCCCGTGTTCACTGCAAGAACATGGCAGGGAACAACTCAATGAGTCTGGGGTCCTGCTCAGTTTGGGCTGACTTGAGGTTCCAGTAGCTCTCCCCATGTGGTACCCCATTAGTACAAATGCCAACCCATGAACAAGGCAGATATAACTAGTATTATAATGAAAATGATTTGGGCCTAGCAGACCTCTTGAACAGGGTAATAAGGACCCTCAGGGGTTGTGGGCTGCACTTTGAGGACCACTGCTCTCCAGGTAAATGTTTCATCCAGATTATTCGGTGTCCCCATAGTTATGCTTTCCTGCTGCCATTGCCCCAGCCTGTGGGCAGCCCAGAGAGAGTGTTTGCAAGCATGCACCGCTTCAGGGAGTGGGGGGAAAACCACATGCAGAAAACGTTGTCCTTAGCACTTTGATAATTTATTGAGGTTCTGATAATTTTTTTTAAAGACATGAGTACTTTGTGAGATTTGCAGGAAGAGACAGGGAGGATGCATGTTCTTGTGAAATTCATTATAGTAACTCCGTTACAAAGTCAAAAACTGAGAAGCTACAGTTTTCATAACTACAGCTGTAGGAGGGAATTCTGCCTTAGAAGTCCTCAGTGTTTTGGGGGTAATGGGAATTTCTCTAGCTTGATTGTGTTGGTGGTTACATGACTGTATGCATGTCAAAATTCATAGACTTGTGTATCTAAGAGGAGGAATTTCAATATATGTAAATTTGACTACTGTATTTGATGGCTGCTTCCTGTTTTCCCTCAAAAAAGGTCTATGTTTTTGTATCACTGTTTCTTAAACAATGGAAGAAACAGGTTCAAGAGAAGACTGACTTGTTGAAGCAGATTTTGACACCAAGAAATATAGTTTGTGTTAGTAGTAAAATGCCTTCTAGAATTTTACTTTGTTCTTTAATATACTTAAATTAATTTTAACTTCTTTCTAACCTCCTGTTTTCTCTGACCCTCAGAGTTGCAAGGATATAATGTCCCCAGTGATGCTTTGACTGTCTGTGGAGGCATAGTGTAATATGAATTTGGCTGATTGCTGTCACAATAATTTTACAGAAAGTCCCATTGTGTTTTATTGTAACTGAATAAATTATATGCATAGTGCAATACACTTCTGCTTATATGGATTCTTCTTTGAACTGAGAACATTTTTTTAATTATATGGAATTTTGAAATGTTTCTTGTCAAACTTGATGTAGCCTGAGATAGGTGGTAACATTGACTGTTTTCTCCTAAGTAAGGACTTTTCCAAATAATTTCATCGAAATGGGTTGACACTGAATCTGAGGAGGATGAAAGCGTGTACTCGCCCTAAGTGCAGGTAACAGAAAGGATGCCTCCCGCTTCTGGGGAGCGTTGGGTTACTTTGACCCCACACTGAGTTGGGGTTAACTGGGCTTTCTTTTAACAGGGTGTCTGTAACTCCCATTTGGTGTTAGAAGAGCCGTCTTCAATTGTGCAGTTGGACTATAGCCAGAAAGTGCTGCTTGTCTCTACTCTGCAAAGAAGTCTGCTTTTTTACACCGAGGAAAAGTCTGTCAAGCAAATTGGAACTCAGCCAAGGAAAAGGTAAGCTCCAAATGTTGCAGCTTGGTGTTTCTAGAGGATCTGTAAGTACCTCCAGGTTCCTGTTTGCCACATGCCAGCCACAGCGGCTTGTAGCCTGGGCTGCAGGTGAGTCCACCACCTGCCTGGGATGCCTTGTCCTTGCATCAAACAGGAGGAACATGCAGGCTTGGCAGCTGAGCCTTGAGTGCCAGGGTCTGGAGCTGCCCCCAAGGCAGTGGGCTCCATGCCCACTTCTTGTGCCTCTGCCCTCTGTGCAGGCTTGGTGCAACTGGTAGACTAGGCCCACTGTCATGGAAGCATAATAAACTCAGCCAAAAAGTTGCATTACCTGCTGTGGAGCAATGCGCAGGGTGCTGTGGAGTTTGAGCAGGCTTTCTACTGGCTGGGGGACAAGGAAGACTTCCTGGAGGAGTGGGCAGAGGCAGGAATGGGACCAGTGAGCGGAGGGATCTGAAGGGGTCAGGAGTTCAGGCTGAGACCTTGTCCCTCCTTGGACTGCTATGTGGAAGGACAGTGATGAATGGGGCTAGGTTAGGGCCACCTGCCTTCCAACCCTGGGAAGCAGGCAACAGGAACACACGGGTGATCTACAGGCCATAGCCTGCTCGGCATGGCCGCTGGCATGGGGTGGGGCCAGGAGGAGGGGGCAGGAAGCCAGGCTGGGGACGGGAGGAGACGGTGGGCATCAGTGCCACCAAAGATCATAGGTCTGGAGGAGTGGGGACCCCAGTGACAGGGCACTGTTGCCTATGGAGAACTGGGACAAGTAGGCAGCTGGGCTTGAAGGCGGGGAGGGCCCCGGGAGGGCCCTGGCCCCTTGGCAATGAGCTGTGATTGGCCGGCACTGCTGAGGGCCCGCTGAGGCTGGTGGTGCCTGGGGCTGGGCGAGGCCAGGCACGGAGAGGGCCACTGAGGTCTGATGGGTGAAGCCAGCCTCGGCCTCTCCGCCTCCATTGTTCTGTGTCCAGGCTTTGCAGCGACACAGTGCCTGTTTATTCTCTTCACTGTGGGGCAGCCCTTGGGTGTTGAAAGTCACTGTCATGCCTCCCCTTCGGCTTCTGTTTTCTGTGCTGAATACCCCCTAAATTCCATAAAAAATTTGGCCTTTGGCAAGCAGTAATCTCCCTCTTGGTCCCTGGAAAACTCAGTGGAATTTTTAGGTTGGGCTTAGTGGTTCTGCGGATCTTGGTTCACTTTCCCTCTACCCATGTCCTGCTCCTCTGCCCAACATCTGTCCTGGTCCATCTGTCAGTGTCATGCTGCACTGTGCCTTTTTGGAAGAAGGTGGAGAATAGAGAGTTAAAAACCAGTTACCTTTGCATGGATCATGTATCCAACAGTCTTTCTTCTAAAACTTGGCCTTCCAACCTCTTGTGTGGAAATCTGAGCAGCATTCTGTGAACCTCTCCTGGAGCATTTGTGTAAAGTCAAGTGTTTTCGGCAGCATTGATTAAGTGTGTCCGCCAAGCACTGTTCCAGGATGCAGAATCAAATAGTGTGCCCACTTTCTCTGAGGGAGGTAGTTTTATTGAGCCCTAAAGAAGTGGGGGATAACACAGCCTGAATGAGATTATTTTTAACCTCTGTGTCTTAAGGGCTTGTCTTTCTGTTGTGTGTCATACTTGGGGAAGGGCGGCAGCCATGTCTGCCCCCTGGAGATGGTGCTTCATTCAGCAAGTGTTTGGTGAGTGTTGGCTGGCTGGGCAGCAGGGCCATGAGCAAGAGGACAGGCATCTGTCCTCAAGCATGAGACGTGTATAGGCTGCAAGAGCTGCTGAACCTGCAGTGTAAGGCCTGCCATGGCGGTGGGCTGCTTCTCTTAGATAGAGCAGCCAGGCAGGCCTCCATGGGCAAGTGATGTCTGAGCTGAAGCTGAAGTGTGGGAAGAGCTGGTGGAAGAGCATTCTAGGCTCAGGGAGCATCACACGGCAAGGCCCCAGATTGGTCCAGGGCTCGGCACGTTCAAGGAGCCAGAACGGGCTGGGCTGGCTGTGAAGGGGTTGGGTGCATTGGTGTAAAACGAAGTTGGAAAGGAAGGCCTGAGCCAGCGCTGGCATGGGGTTCTGTCTCCCCCTCTTCTGGGCCTGATGGAATACCACCAGAGGGCTTAGGTGGAGAATAACAATCTGAGTTTCAGAGCTCACCTGCTTCTATGTGGGGCTGACTTGGAGCTGAGCAGAAGGGGCTGAGAAGGGTCTTTGGGTTTGGGGCCTGGTGGCCGGCATCCCTCCCTCGTCGAGAGCAGGCCCCAGGGTAGAGGGGGCTGAAGGAGAAGGGGTGGACAGGGCATGTCGATGACTTTTTGGAGGACTTCTTTGTGCAAGGGAGCACAGAACCTGGGGCACTGCCTAGAGGTGGAGGTATGGTCTGGTGAGTTTTTAAAAGATGGGCTGGTGGCAGCATACGGGAGATGGGGTGGCTCCACAGAGAAAACGGTGGTGCAGGTCGTTGATCCCTGGAGCCCTCTGGTGGGTGCCAGACAGGTTAGCTGGAATAGGGTCAGGGGTGTTCTCTCAGCTGAGGAAGCAGAGCCCAGGTACAGGTGCAGGCAAGTGGGGCATCTTGGCCATATAAGGTGAGGTCCTCTTCCCATCAAGTCTGTGAACTGCCTCAGATTGAACAAAACAATTTATATGTTCCCGCAGCAAATCTCAAAGACCCCAGGCATCCCCAAGCGTGCACTACAGTCTTGTGCTCCTCCGTGTTTCCATTGTGCTGTTCTGTGCCAGAGCTCTCTGCACACCTCTTGCTGTGTCCCCTGCGGCCCACTTGTCAGGGCTAACCCATGTCTGCAGCATCTCCATGTTGCAGTCCGAGCCAGGTGTGGGCGAAGCATCAAGTTCGGGACAGGGCCACCGTGGTGCCTGTGGGATGACCTTAGGGCATTTGACTGTTGAGATTATTTTCAGGGCTTTGGCTCATTCCTCACCCATCTTTCTCGGTTCTGGGCTCTGTCTGGGCTCAGCATTTCTGGTCTATGGCACCATAATTATGTATTAAGTTAGAAAACACTATCTTATGGTTAGAATTTGTTAGCCAGAAAACACCCCTTTCCTATGAATGTGGCTCATAAAGGGAATTAAAGTACTTTAAGTCATCAGTGGTTTTTTTGGAAATCATGTCCACCAGAAGTAAGAACGAGGTTAATTTATTTATGATTTTAGAACCCTGCAGTGCTCAGACCTTAAAAGTTGGAGTTTTAGCATCTGATTGAGACTGACATGAGCAAATGCTGCAGAATCACACTGCAGGTGGGTGGTGGCCAAGAGGGGTTTAGGACAATTTGCACCTGGCCTTCGCTAGTTATCCCCTTCCCAGCCTGCTCGCCATGTGTTAGAGCAGCTCCTTAGAGCTAGCTGCTTGCCGGGACCCTGCTCAGCGTGTTCTTTTCCCCAGAATGCCTCTTCCCCTTTTCTCAACATGGCAATAGTCCACCCAGGATCCCAGGTGTGGCCTTTTTATGCCACAGTCACAGGTGTCCCCTTGGTACTCCTCGAGCGGCTCTTTAAGCCTCAGGTGTGGCGCCTCCAGGTGGTGTGGGAGCTGTTCATGCCCACACCTGCTGCAGCGTGTTCTAAGGCAGGGCTGGGGTCTCATCTTATTTACTTTTTCTGTCACCCACAGCACTAGGGTGTCACATAGTGCAGGGACTCCCAGATGTTTGTTCAGATGAACACTTAGTTACCTAAGGTGAACAAATCAAAATGGAAGGGACAGGACATCTGTAAGAGGGCCTGTATATAGAAGAAAACATTTACAAATTGAATCACCAAATAGAAATTGATTCCACAGGAGGGTAGGAAGAAGAGGTTATGGGCTGCCCTGCTAGAACTCCTCGGGGTCCCTCCGTTTGGAGAACCTTTCCAGAACACATCCCCCACAGGCAGTGATCAAACACGGTGCTGATTATAGAGTTGTCCATGAATGATCTACAGAGTTAAAACATTCTCGGTTAGTCTAAGGACCTTTTTTCAAAGCTGCATTTGGTATTTGATGTCCTCCTTGGACCCCCTGCAAAGGGACCTAGTGAGATACTGAAGTGCAGGGAACAGCCACACTAGTTTATCTGTGTGACTGTGGGATGGGCTGTGGGGACAGCCTCCCAGGCTGCTGTGTGCAGTGAGGTGGAAGAGGGGCACAGCCCATGTGACAAACAGGCAACAATGACACAGGGTGAGGTGGGAGGCTGGGGATTAGGGGCAGCCCCCAGCTGCAGCCTCCGCGTGGCAGGCAGTGTTGTGGGGACTTAGAGTGTCACAAGTGTTGCTCTTTGTGCCTCCGCAGATGATGTCATTTAATTCTCCCTTCAGCCTCTGAGATGGGAATTGTCATCCCTGGCTTACAGATTAGGACATTGAGATCCAGAAAGATTACACATCACGTAGCTCTTAAATATCAGGGCGAAAATGACCCGAGCTGTCCATCTAAAGCTAGTACTCTTTCTACTGTTCAAAATCAGAGAAATATTTTGGAGGGAAAATCAGCAGGACTTAAAGTTGTACTGAAACTCCTAAATCAACTCTGTGGAAGTCTGAGACTTGGCAAAGGTGTGGCACAATGAGAACTCAGACGCTGACAGGAGTATAGGTTGGTATGATCACACTGAAAAAGTTTGAAACTGTCTTCTCAACTTGAAGCAGCTCTTCTCCACATCCCGACTGTCACTCCACAACTCAACAGTTCCACTTCCGAAACGCCCTTGACAAACTACTGCTGTGTGCTGGCAGGTCATGTGCAAAAGCTCTGACAGCACTGCTATTCCAAGTCAAAAAGTAGAAAAAATTCAAATACCCACTGACAAGAGAGTGAATGAACATACCGTGGGACACTGTACAGCAGGGAAAATGGATGAGCCACAGCTTTTTTATCAGCAAGGATGAATCTTAGAAATGTAACACTAAGTTAAAAGCAAGTTGCAAAAGTATGCAAATAGCATCGTTTTTTAATACAAATGAAAGACAATGCTGAATTGTGTAATGCTCAGGAATACATAGAAATGTGGTTAAATTATCAGTAAAAGCAAGGAAATAATAAACACAAATTTCAGTGTAGAAGCATAGGTTCTGTTGTTTCTGTTAGCTATTTCATAATTTTAAAAACAGAAAAAATACCAAGCCTGGGGACCAGAAGGGAGATTGGGCACTCTGATGGGGTTAGAGAAATTCAGAAAGGGCTGCCTCAGTTCTTCACACAAAGCTCATTCATTGGGATGTTGGAGCAAGCACAGCAACCAGACAATAGAAGGAACAGAATTTCAAAGCACAGAGAGGATGTCGGACCCAGATTTGCACCTTCTGCCTCAGTTTCCTCTTTTCTAAAATGGAAGTTGTCACATCTGTCCTGCAGGGTTGTCGTGACGAATGAGAGAGTGGAGATGAAGCCCCGAGTGCAGTGTGAACCAGGATGTGTGCCAGCAGGTACACCCCCTGGGTATAAAGTGGGGAGCGTAAGACCAAGACCTTATTTTGTGGACACAGAGGTGACAGTGTGGTTCAATTAACAGCAATAACAAGTGTAGAAAGGGGTTTAAAAAGAAATCAATCTTGCTGAGGCTTAGCCAAGAAATTCTTGTTAGGGTTAGTATCAGGGGTTGACAGCTACCACCTTAAATCAGCCCCTGTCTGTTCTCCCTCTTTTTTCCTTGTAATTTCAGCACTGGGAAATTTGGTGCTTGTTTTATACCAGGACTTTGTAAGCAAAGTGATCTAACCTTGTATGCAGCAC